ATCAATAAAAGTGTRTAACACAAATCACTTATTTGAATTCTTGCTAATTTATGCTAATTTTATTGTTTGTTTGGATCAGTACTACTGTATTTAGCAGCTAATTGTGGACAATATCTTTATCCAATAATAATCAACTTCTGATTACGGAGTCCATTACATCTATGATGTGCAATCGGTTTTATCACATTKTTTTCATTGATCAGCGGAAACAAAAATTATAAAAAAAAATGATATAAAAAAAAATGATTACGGGCGATAGTGAAAGCGCATTGTCTTCTACTCCGTCTTCTCTCAAGTAAGCCTGAACATACGAACACACGACTTAATTCCAAAAAATGAGGGTCACGTGACCAGTGCTTTTTCGCACTATTTGTTGGAAATTGCGGTTAGAGCTAACCGGCATACTTTAGGACTGTTGTCTTAAGGCGGCTAAATACGAGATACAAAAACCATCAACTTGGCGCGCAACATTGTTTCTGTTAAAGTTGAGTATCAAAGTTTCTCGTTTTTCATGCATCGTCAACTCAGTTATGCAACAAAAATACATCGTGAACACCGATGCTCAACTTGAACAGAAACAATGTTTCGCGCCAAGTTGAGGGTCTTTGTTTCTCGTATTTAGCCACCTTTAGGCTTAGGGTTGAGATTTGGCTTAGGGTTAGGCTTGTGCTAGGTCTTCATCGGGGCTTTGGGCTAGGGTTTTGACCTAGTACTAGTCACGTGACCAGCCTTTGCCAGCAAATTCAAACTCCAAAAATGAGATCTGCACGAAACATAGACCGTGCTCAACTACCTAAAATGCTATGCTTTAACATGAAGATGACCACCCACAAACTTTAACTTTGTTGCGTTTTGTACGAAGGCCCTAACGGTGGTCTAGATTTCAAGACAATGACCCCAATCTCTCTCGACTGCAATCAAACTTGTTGTACAAACTGGTCCACAAAATTTTAAAACGAAATAGCCGATAAACTGTGAACAATTCTTTTTTTATTAAGAAAAATCTAAAAAAGACACGTCTATGACACTCCCATTCTCACCTTGCAGCTCACCTGCTAGAACATTGGTAGAACAAATGCGAAAAAGACGTGGGACCTTCTATTCCAAGCGAGGTCGGGAAATTAGTTTTTGCGAATTTATTTCTAAGGGTCTTTCACCCGAAATAACTTCCTTTTCTATCTATGACTCTCTATCTTTTCTATTCCATGAACTACAAAAAGGGTGAGGATTGAGATATGTGTAAGACAATTTAGAACATTTACCTAAAACCATTGCATACATCATGCGTAAGTCATCTTTACAACATGGCTACAAATTTTTCAGGGCTATTATGCAATTGTTTTAAATCACTACGACAGTTGTAGCCATGTTGTATGGATGACTCCTGCATGTTGAATGCGATGGTTGTAGGCAAATGTTGTGCCGTCTAAATTGCCCTTAATAAAAAAATTGACGCAGTAAAACAATATGAAATTGCCGGCATTTTTACGTGCTGTAGGAACTCATCGATTGGGTTCTGTTGCTGTTGCCTTGGTCGTACTGCATGTCATTAGGTATTTTATGAATTAACTTGAAATTTCATTCCAATTTTTTTTTCAATTGACTGTATATATTTTTATCCTCCTTCGCAGGCAACTCTACTCCGTGGGATTCCTGTGTTAAGGCAAAAAAGTCCCTCCCCTCCCTTCCCCTTACCTACAATGCTGCTGTGCGTGATGTTATCATACTCAGTAATGATTATAAGAGCCTTCGCAATTATTATATGTAGAGGGGTTAAGTATACAGATGACGAGCAGGCTCTAAACGTATGTCTTGAAAGAGGGAGGGGTAAAGTCTAAGTTAATCAACAAATGAGAAGGGGAGACATCTACGTTTGACCAATCRCAAAAGACTCAACCAGTAACCTGTGAGATGATTTGATAACTTGGTAATTTTGTGAGCACTAAGGCTTACTCGTGGTAACAAAAGCGTTCAAGATCATCTCTGAAAACCACCCAAACTCTCTCGAATACAGTTTAAATTTTTAGTGTCATAAGTGTAAAATTGCATGGGGTAACACATTGTATGGGTAAGGGCGGCATGGATTTTTTTGTCATTTTCAAAATAATAAATGAATTTTAATTTCTTGTTGCAATTTCTAAAGTAAAATATCCTGGATTGTAGTTCAGTGAAAAATATGTAATTTAGTGCTGTAATTCATTTCTAGGGCRACAGACTGACGCATTTCATGAAGCAATGGAAAAAGCCGCAGCTTGCGTTAACTCAGAGCAACAAAGTGCAAGCACTGGTAAAAGGATTGTTTTTTTTATTGAAGAAGCTACAATCATGTCTACTAAAACATTCCTGAGATGCCGAGGGGACACCGGTTTGGTCAGCTCATGGTACGAAAGCAAAAGTTTGAACTTCGGGACCGATTTATTTCTCTTCTGCTTTAGCTGTGATTTTGATATTTCCTAAGAGAATGAAGTGTTTTATATAACCCCCCAAAATAACCAAAATATCGATGTTGAAAATGGCCTAATTTGAAGAGTTTTCGACGGCTTTCGGCCGATAATCGCCATAGGAGGCCTGGAGCCGACTCTTCTCGATAGTTTGGTAATCCTGTGATCTTACCATTAAAAATGGAGCTCAGATTTTTCATTTACCCAAGATCATTCATTTACTACACATTTTTGGTAATTTATTTGCTAATACACATAACAATGGTTGCAATTCCACACTATTAACATGCAAAACCTAAAAAGTATAGAAAACATTATTTTCGTGTTAAATAAATCGCATCTAAAAAGTAATCTATTAAAAATGAATTTATTTTGAAAACATGATGTAATAATAATAATAATAATAATAATAATAATAATAATAATAATAATAATAATAATAATAATAATAATAATTTTTATTTCTCAAAAATCCTACTATATATACACTCAAAAGATAATAAAGATAAAAATGATGATAATTTACAATATTGATAAAATTTACAACGATTTAAAAGTGGCTTATATGTGTATAAATATAGACATATCTAGAAACAAAACAAAAAGAGAACAATCATATAATCAAATACAATAAAATTAACCCCTACAATATCTCCCCCTATAAAAATATATTAATAAATGGCTCCTTCAGTGTTTTCTAATTCAATGTCATTATTATCAAAGTTCCATTGTCTTTTTCTGGTTCTTGTCCCTCTTATGCATACTAGTGCTGATCTCAGCAGGGCAAAAGATAATCTTGCACGTATCCATGAAATGGTTTTCGCGTAATCTTCTTTTTTCTTGGCCGCAATCAATTCTGCCAGTCTTCTGTGATAATCTACGCACTCCTTTCCCATTCCACCAGTTGTTGTGAAGATCAGAGGGGTGAATGTTCCATGTTCTATTTCAAGCACTCTACTTGTGTATTGGCGTTTCTTCTCGTTTTCGTGTATACGATATATCTGCTGCGGCTCGAGATCCCTGTACGATTCAGCGTTGGGGTGACATACCCTCACATCGAAAAAGGCAGATCGYTGGGGCTCCCAAAAACCACGTGCATGAATATCGAGTCTTGCGTCCTGTGAATTATTTGACCCWCGTTTCAAGTGTTCTCCTTTCACGTCTTGAAGCACTGGCTCCGTAGCAACATCTTTACACACAATGTTCAGAAATTCTGCTTCCAGATCTCTCAGTTCATTATGTCTTTGTATTACAAACCCTCCTCTCTTACAAATCATGGCATGGTCTACAGTAAAGGGCTCACCACAAACACACGTCGATGGAATATCAGATAAAGGCCATTCATATCGTAAACAGAGACCATCCCTGAACTCCCTTTTGTTTAGGTTAAAACCCATCTCTTTCAGCGGAAGTGACGTTAGCCACATGGACGATCCCTTTTCTGTKGCAAGCTCGAGTGCACGTTGAGTTTTCTGCGGTGCAGTTTCTTTTAGCTTCTTGGCTTTTTCTTGGGAGTTCTTCACTCGTACCCCTCTCACTTCCGTCTGTGCTGTCTTTATTAGAGAATCTTCAGGCAGTTGATGTTTCTGAGACACAATTTGTTCRACGAGGGGGGCCGTTACTTTAACTGATGAGGTATACTCTAGATTTGCATCGCTCGCGGGGTTTGCTATGGCAAGTCCCCCTAAGCGGACTGGAAGTGACAAAATGTCTCTGTCCAATTGGCTAATTTGGTGATCTGTGATAGCAGGTATAAGAACGCTGGATATTGCTTTTTCTAGTGGTTCAAGCAAGTCCTGTATATCTGGTAAAGTTCTCATGAAATAAGTCCACTGATGTTTCAGTCCAAATGTGTAAGCCGCATACGATGCTTGGGGTTGAGTCACAGCAAATTCAGCTAGCTTGGTAATTTCTCTTATCCAGTTGGTCACTTTGTCTTTTACATACTCTTCGAGATATTCCTGTGAACCTATCACTGCACCCAGATGTCTCTTGCCTTGTACTGTTACGTTGATGGCTGTTTCCTTGAATGCTTCCCTCATAAACATCTCTCTATCTGGCTTGGAGATAATCCAGCATTTCCTGCTATTTGGATAGTACCCGAAGTCTGGACCAATTGAACTTAGGGCGTCCCACCATTTCTTGATTTCCATGACAGGGCCAGCTCCACTGGCATCATCAGCAAACCAGCACTGCTTGATCTGACACATCCCTTCTAGACTAGTTATAAGTGGTTGGATACTTAGGGCATACAGTCCCATAGCCAGTGGANAAACACCTTCATTTTTCTTCAAAGTTAATTTTCTAGTTTTTAGTTTTTAGTTTTTATTTTGCATCGTTTATCCAAATGGCTTCGCTTTTTGGCAAATTAATTTATCAACAAGAATTATCGATAATCACTGTGACTTCTGTGTTTGAGTTTGAGTGCAATAGGCCTTTTCTGAGATAAACCGGAAGTCTTGAAGCGCGATGCATTGTGGTCTAGCTTCGGTACCAACAAACCCTAGGCAAACCCCGCGAAAAAGTAGAAGTGGGCGGGAAACTTGGAATTCTAATATAATTTCTAGTTTTTAACAGTGAAAAATAACTTTTCTCAGATGAAAAATGATGAACTTGGTGCTTTTCTACAAAGGAGAGGGATCCATGTCACGAAAGAAGAAAAAACGAGCGTATTTTAATGCAATTGTTCGCGAAGTCGGCAAAGTTTCTATGTGAACTTTGGCGAAGTCTTTACCTATGTTTAACTTCTAAAAAATGCCTCGATGTGCAGTTTTGGCTGCGATAACGATACGCGATATAAAGAAAAGTAAGTCACTACAATTTAAAGTTGTAATGAGGAATTTTTGAGAATGTTTATGGCGTTTTTATATGAAAACTTATCGAATCGTCGTTTTATACAACAGATGGATTGTTATGCCACACGTAAAGAAACATCTTGGCGATAAGGCGACCATCAGATTCCATGCATGCCCCAAAAATACTTGGTTCAAGAAGTGGGCAAACTTGTTGAACAGAAAAGACTTGAAAAAACTTACAAAATCAACTGTGATTTGTAGCAACCACTTTGAATATGGACAGCCAAGGTTGAATTCCCCTCACCCGTCAAAATACCTTAAAGGTTTACATGTAAATGCATCCCCAGCTGATGTAAATGATGTCAATAAAAGAAAAAGCCCTAAGCGAMGAAGATTGTCCACAAACATACAGCTCGAAGTATGTGAGGAGGAAAGTGAGTGCACTGAAATGGTGAATTCATCAAGCTTTGATAATAATAATAATAAATATTTATGTAGCCCATTTTCCTGAAAGTCAAAATGCACTTTACATTCATTATTGATAAAACTATTATATATATATATTATATATTATATAAAACAAATTATATAAAACAAATGTAGACATAGACAGTAATTTGATAATATAACTTTATAGCTCAAGGTAATCATGCATCCCAAGATAAAGACATTTCTTCAAGCCAAGCCCTCCAAGTTGAAGAACATCCTCTCAGCAATGTCACACAGGTTGAAGAATCTACTCCAATCCAAACCCCTCAAGTTCAAGAACCTTCTTTATCCACAATTGAAGAATGTTTAAGAGAAATAGATAGACTGAAAAGTGTCATTCACGAAAAAGATAAACAAATTGATGAATTGAAGTCCAAGCACAATTTTGGTGTTCATTCAATAAAAAACAGTGATGATATGGTTAAAGTGTACACAGGCCTGTCATCTTATTCCCTTTTTAGCTGGCTATTTGACGAAGTAAAAGAACCTGCCAAAAACATGACATACTATAGAGGAGAAAATTCAAATACAGATAAGCAATATCAAGTTAACAACAAGAATAAGCCTGGGCCAAAGAGAAAGCTGCTGTTAGAGGATGAACTACTTATATTGCTTATCAAGCTCAGACATAATTTAAATGTGGATCTCATTGCTGCAATGTTTAATGTATCAACTTCTTTAATATCTGTAACAATAACAACATGGTTGTCACTCCTAGCATTAGAATTAAAGCCCCTGATTTACTGGCCTCCTAGAGAAGAACTACTGAGGTGGTATCCTGATTGCTTTAAGAGGTATGGTGACAATGTATGTGCAGTTATTGATGCTTCTGAAGTACAAACAGAAAGACCATCAATGACAAATATAAATTCAATTCTCTACTCAAATTATAAACAAAGACACACATTCAAAGTTTTAGTGGCTTGCACTCCTGGAGGAAGCATTTCATTTATATCTGAAGCAGCTGGTGGTGATATGTCAGATGTTGAATTAGTCAGGAAATCCTAGATCTGTTCAGCAAAGGTGATAAAGTAATGGCTGACAAGGGCTTTACCAATGTAGATGACTTTGTGATGAAGGAAGTTGAATTAATTAAACCTGAATTCAAAAGAAAAGATGGCCAATTCTCCGTATCTCAGAATGTTTACAATGCAGATGTTTCCAATGCAAGGATACATGTAGAAAGAGTCATAGGGAGGTGGAAAAACTTTAAAATTACAAGAGGACCTATACCACTGAATATGGCTGACATGGTGGACAAAATTTTCCTGGTTGTTGGAGTTCTCGTAAATCTATTAGGTGTTTTAGTGCCAGTTCCAGAACATCAGTAGATATGATATAGATATGGGCTAAAAATGTTAGAAAGATTTTAGAGTGTCAGTGCTAAAAGTGTGCAACATAAATACCACTGCATATTGCTCAATTATGCTAATTCTATTGTTTTCTATTGTTTAGTTAACACTATTTAGTAGTGAATACAGTAGTTCAAAGCACTGCACACATTTAGTGTTTTACTCTAATAATACAATATAATAACCTATAGTTAATGTATCTTAGCACAGTGTGCTTATGTGCAATCATCTTACACCTTTGATGAACATACTGCATTGGTAAGAATTATGTCAACAAGTTCCCTTGCAAAGATTGTGGCAAAGTGTGTCCTCACACTTCCATGGTACAACTCTGGTAGAATTATGCATTTAAATGCAGCTTCACACTTCGTTGTCATGTTTTCAGTAAAATTCTTGTCTATCATTATTCTTTCTATATGGATGTTGTGAGTCTTAGCTGAAGTACGGACTACAAAATCTGTATAAAGTGTTTTGGTTACAAGCATCTGACACTGTACTTGTCCATAATATTGATGATCTTTCTTTAAGTGTAATGTTTTGTCTTTGTCAATAAACAGACAAGAAGTAGGCTTTCTAGCCCAAGCATCTATTTTATCACTAGTGAAAGGATTTTTCACTTCAAGACATCCTGGATGGCCATCAGCGGAGCACACTGGGGATTCTTTTGGGCATGAGGAATTAATTATCCCATCTGGTGATGCAGCAATAAATGGGTATTCTTGACATATATGAAGTCCTGTGGGACTGACTTTCAAATTAATGTGTTTCTTTTTTTGGAGTGCAGTATAATGGTTAATGCATGTTCGTTCCATTTTTAGTCCATGACGCATCTCTTTAGTTGTGGGTGAATTACAATATCCAAGTATGTTGCCTAACAAGCTGTTATTTTTGCTTGAAATGGTACCATCATCATGGATTTTTTTTATGCACACTTGAACTTTTGATGCAGTGATTCTACCCTTTCTTAGTGAAGACCATAATGGTGAAGCACTTTGAGCTTTTGTAATCTCAGCAACATTTTTAATTGTTTCATGATCAATCTCAATTTTTTCCATAAGATTTTTCTCAAAGTTCTCAAATGTTATATTTGGAACACTTCTTAAACACTGTGCTGCAATATTAGGAATGTTTTGAATGACTGTTACATCTTGATTTTGCTGTTTCTGAGAATGTTTGTTGCTAACTGATGCACTTGTGTTGAAATGAGTATAGAGCAAGACAATTTCCTTTAGTAATCCTTTTCAACTTATCTAAATCAAAGTCTGACAGTTTTTTTTCTCTTCGGTATTTGTAGTTTCTTGGATCAAAGTTACTTCTAGAGCTCTTCTCAAAATCATCAGGAGTAGTATGAAACAGGCCTTTAGTTTGGTGGACAACTATGTTCTTGACAAAATCGGGGTTGTGGATTTTTCCCTTTGATTTTGGCTTATGCCATGCTTGTGGTTTAGAAGTGCAGGCAATATTGCAACCTCTGTCTACTTCTCTTACTACAAGATGGAGTAATGCCATCACATGCTTGCAAAATCCTCTTAACCTATCAAATGGTATTAGTATAGTATTAGAATAAATATGTCATAAAAGTCTAAAAACTATTTATTTATTTATTTATTTAGTAAATCAAGAGATATAGCTCTCCGGCCATCCCTTCTTAAGAATATTAGTCAAAGTGTTCTTTGTTATCAACCCCATGATTTCCTGGGTTTCAGCCTTAGTGTTACTTAGTCGGGTTGTCTTTCGTCCTCCATCTCCAAATTTAATTGCCCTTTCTTTCATTCTTTGAAACGACCACCAGGTCTTCTTTGGTGCGTTGTCATTATTCAAGTTTTCTTTCAGTCGATTTGTAATATCTTGCTGGTAAAAAGTGATGTGTCCGAATGGTTCTGCCATTCCCGCCAGATGGTCGGCTGCCTCATTATACGTGATTCCCGCATGACCTGGGATGTAGGCGATTCGTATTGAAGATTTAATTTTCCTCAGCAGTTTCAGCCATGTATTTTTTACCATTCCAGATTGCAATTGTGCTACCAAACTTTTAGAGTCCGTTAGGAGCAGTGTAGTATCTTGGACAGAGGTATTATTTGACATCCAAAATAGAGCATCCTCTACTCCTTCCATCTCTGCACGAAAGGAACTAGTCCTACCATGTTTTCCTGCACACCACTTATAAATGCACCGGTTATTTTTCCATACAAGCCCCGCCCATGCTGTTACGTCCTCTCGTACCGATCCGTCCGTTGCTATGATGATGTTAACATTGACGGATTCAATGTACTGTTCTACTTCGGCTTGATTGATGATTGGGTTTCTATCCCTCCACTCCCTACTTCCAACGATATCAATTG